GCTCTGTTTTGATGTTGATGACGTAGATGTGAGTGGAGGCAAGCCAGAGATTTTAAGGGAGCTCTCAAATGTTGAGATGGGTGCAACCCAGAAGAGCACACATCTCATGGACAGAGCTCCCATGCATACGGCTGCTCTGGGCCTGCAGATCTCACATCTGTTACGCTGCAGGTCACAAGGGAGAGGGGCAAAGTAATAAAACAAGTCAAGGTATATAAAAGTGGTGGTGATTTATACAGGAAATCACCTGCGTTTGTTTTGTTTATTCAAGGAAAAAAAACCTCAAAAGAAGAAATGACAAGAAGATTTAGTGCCACTATTACAAAGCCATAAAGATTTTATTACTTGGAGCACTGTTGGTGAAGATGAGTTGTGTCTCTGCTGCAGTGCAATGCAGTGTACTGTGCAGTTGTTTACACAAATCATGCAGGATTTGTACAGCCTTAGGTGTGTCTTTGGCCGCCTCTTGAGCGCTGCACGAAGCCTTTCTGGTGTTAGAAGTAAGGCTAACGAAAGCTTCACTTTGATGTTCTAATGCTCAATAATCCACTGCTAGGTAAAGGGGCAAAGATGAGAATGTACTGTAAATTTATTAGTTGTGTAAAGAAAAAATATTGCCAGTTCTTGTTGCAATGTGGCCAAATTTTAATGAGGTGTTCTGGCTGTTACTTCTCAAACATCAGGCATTAAATCACCCGAACTGGGCAGAGGTGGCATAAGGAAATGCATCTGTTCTGAAGTGGGCTGTATTTGTTTTCCCCGTTGTATTCCTGGCCCTCCTTGAGGGGCTGTGCTGTAGAGAATGTCTGTGCGTGGTACAAAAGGGGAAGGGTTTGCCTCTTACCGAGGTGATGTGTGATTGCTTCTGGCTGTCTTTCCTCGTGCTCTGCCTGAGGGAGCAGCACTGAGGGGGGGAGCAGGGCAGAGGGCATTGCTCACAGCCCTGCAGAGCTGGGGAGGGAGCAGTGTGGTGGGATGCAGCGATGCTGTGTCACGGCTGCTTAACTGCACCCAGCACTGCTACAGGAGAACTGATTCCCTGCAGCACGTTGTGGCAATGTGTCCTCAGGCCTTGTGGACCGCTGGAAGGCCTCTATACAACCTTCAACCTGTTAAAGAGCCCCACAAACACATTCCTTATAGCGCTGGCTCGATTCTTCTTGCCGTTTCTCCTGGGTTGGCCGCTGGCTGTGCTTGTCCATTCCTTTCCTGTGGCTGCTGTGCAGACAGAGCTCCCCTCTGTGCTGCGGGTGCCAGCAGCTCCCCAGCCCTTCCCAGCCCTCCTGTTGCTGCAGTTAAGCAGCTCAGCCATGGCAGGCTCACACGGTTCCTGTGTGTAACTGCAGGAACAGCCAAAAGATAGCGATCAGCAGAACAAGGCACTTTGTAACGTGAGGTGATGTGCTCCCTGGTGCAGCTAGAGACTTCGTTCCTGCAAACCCTTGGCCAAAGCTTTGGCACAACAAGAGCTGAATGGCTGGCCTGGGGCTCTCACTGCAGCCAGCAGCCAGCAGCACTGCAGCACTGCAGCTCTGCTGGGAAAAGCGGGTCTGTGATCTGCATGCATGACCTCCAGCCAGCACAGGGCTCCAGCAGCAGCCTCACATTTTTTCTCTTTCCTTTGGCAAAGCCCACGTGGATCTGCAGAAGAGAAATCAGTGCTGCTCTTGCCCTCGATATGGTTTTCTCTTCCGGAAGGACTTACAGCCTCACTGGCTTATTGGTTCCTCCTAATTTTGGCCCCAATTCACTTAGAGCACTGGAAGTATTTAGAATATGATAAAAGCATTCCTAGCGTGGAGCTGTGAATGGTACTGGAGTCAGGAAGTGCACCCAGAGGACTGCTCCAATGGGACACATCTGGTGGGTACCTCAGCTACAGCACTTCTCAACCCACCACTATCAATCACACAGCTCCAGCGATGTGCAGTGAGAATTTTATTCTTCCTGCACAAGCACAGAGGAAAACAAACTATAATATAATGTGAAACGCAAATCAAGTTGAGCAAATTGGTTTTTCTTGCATATTTTACTTCAGCTAGGAAAGGAGAAGATGCTTATTTGCCACCAGTAATTCTCTTGAGCTTTTCCTTAAGCGCTGTGTACTCTCCTGCTTTCGTACACTTCAGAACTGGCACCCGGCGTTGACTCGCTGTTGGGCTGAGATCTACTGTAGAAAATCATGTCTGCAGCTCATTCCTCCCTTCCAAACGGAAGATGTGAATGTTTAAAATCATGTCCATGTTGTCATGCTACATTTTTCTGTGCTTACAACTTTCATATCCTTAACCTCACGCTTTAGATTTGCGGAGAAGACTTACTGTGCTTTCAGCTAAATTAGGGTAGTAGTTATCAAAACCGTTGCAAAGAGCAATGACACTCTGTCCTTGCTTAAGGCAACAAAGCCTGGAAAGATCCCAATCTGTGAAGGTCAGATTGTCTTGTTAGGGATACATGGCTCCTGGTAGAAATTATTTCCATTAGATCAGATGTATATATATAATTAGCAGAACCAAAAACAGATAGCATTTTTACGGGAACAGCTTAGCAGCCAATGAAGTTATTGCATCAGAGTTTTTTGTATTTAATAAAACATGACACAGGGAATGGAATCATATTTCTTTTTACAACAAATTGGCTTGTATCCCAAAGTGTCCGTTGTTCTGCTGCAGAGCTTGGCTAGGAGCGTAGCCTAACTCACTTTTTATTCTGTCTCAGAATGATACGAGACAGCAAATGGTGCATTGTGCCATGAAATGTTACAATTGTAGGAGTGTACCCACCTTGGGCAAGCAGAGAAGTGTGGGGAAGGGTGAGTGTTTTTCCAGGAGAGCTGTCCTGCAGGGGATTGGAGGCAGTGGGGCCTTCTGGGATCTCCAGTACCTGAAAGTTCAGTGCTTGGGAAATGTGCTGTTTTAGTGCTGATATTAATGCAGCGTTTGCTTAAACTCTAGAAACCAGTGGAAGGCTTTTGTTGATCCTCTGTGGGGCTCGTGGAGATCTTCCTGTGCACTACCCACCAGCAAATGCCCACTGGAAATCCTAGAAAGCAGCAGCTGCCTAAAGGTCTGCTGGTTTTAAGGTGATGCCAAAGCTGATGGAAAAATGCAGTCTGCAGAGACAGGTGTGGGACTGGTGGGACTGGGAGGACAGTGAAGCTCTATGTTTGTTGGATCTGCAGAGCTGGAAGCAGTGCCTCAGAAAGCACAAGTTGTGAGCCTAAGGGATGGGGAGCGTGGAGTGGCTGAGGAGCAGCTTGGTCAGGGTATCCAGTGCAGCAGCTGGTGAAGAAGTCCAAGTCCTCAGGTGGCATGGCTTGGCTTCAGTTGTTCTGCACTCGCCATCTTAGAATTCATGCCAAACTCAGAGGACCAAAAAATGAGAACTGTTTATAGTAAGCAACAAAACCAATCTATACAAAGCTAAATTCATCACTGATGTAAAACAACTGTCTTCAGTGAAGTTTTGCCAGAGTTGAATGCTGCTCTGTCACTGTGTGTTACATCGTTTCTAAGATACTGATCACCGCAATACAAATAATTGTATTTAAAATGTTCCACCGCTATCCATTTTTTTTTGTTCATCCCAAGTGAAAATATTTCATAGATGTATGCAAGTCACACGCAGCCTGGGGGCCACGGTTTCCATTTTTGCATCTAGGACAAAAATGTATTTTTTCCTGAAAAAAATCAGACCTTGAATGATCTCTCCTCTGGGTGTTCTGAAGGCTGTGTCTCCAGCTGTTCTGTAGACATAACACTGGATGTGCACCCTCAGCCTTCTGCTCTGCCTCTGTGGCTGTGGGATCAGGGGGTGGGCAGCGATGTGTCCATGCCCAATGACTGCAGTTCTGGGCATCTTGGTGTTAGACACGTGGGTTAGGATCCGGCTCTGGGATAGGTCTGACCATGCTGACCTGAAGAGTCCCTGTTTTATCCACCTTGGGATCTAGGTGCAAACTTTGGTTTAATTCCCTTTCTGTAGGCTGCCTGAAACAGGAGCTCCAAGGGAGCTGTGATCTTCACAGCCACTGCAAAAGAAAAAATAACTGAAGCCGGGAGGTAACAGGAATTGAATTTTTATGTATTTAATTAACAAGCACACAAGTAAGGGATAATCTTTTTTAGAAGACATGCACGCTGTGTTTCTGAGCCCTCCCTCATCTTCCCAGGGAACATGATGAACCCCTCTGAGTTCTGCAGGTGTCCAGATTAGATGCCCTGTGCACCTGCTCTGTGGAATGGCTTTGGAGCAAACTGGGTTCTTTTCCCCTTCAGGAGCACTCAGGAAGCATCCCAGTTTCATTGCTATCTGGCACAGCTCTGGAATGGGATGATGTACCAAGCTGCTACAAGTCAGATAAATGTCCCCCCCTGCCTGAAGAAAGGCTTTGGGGCTTCCTGTAGGTGTGTGATGCACCATGCACGCTCTGTTGGCTGTGCTGTATGTTTTTGGTTCTCCCAGCTCACATTGAGTAGTTCTTATTGCTCAGAAAATGTAGCTGGAGTCACCCCAAGTGGTTGTTGTGTGGAGCTCTCCTTATGTGGTGGGTGGGAAAGCTGATGATGTGCACTTTACCCTTTTGACAGAGATCTGGCACTCATCTCCATGTTTTCGTCTTCTGAATTAGAGAGTGCAGACTGCAATGATTTTTGGTTAACCTCTTTGTTCTTTCTTGAGGATGAAATCATTCCTCCCTTGGAATTGTTGCCTGTTACCTATAGAAGGAATGAAAGCCCATGTCTGTATGTTATGACCTTTTGGAGTGAATACACTAAGTATGTGTATGCACATATGGCACAAATTTATCATGCAGTATTTCCTAGCCGTTAAGAGACCATAAAGCTGTCCTTGCCCCCATCTCTCTCTCTCTCTCTTTCCAAATAAGGACCCTTCTATGTTCAGCTTTCTTTGAAAACAGGTGTGTGATTGCAGGAACGGGACGAGGTGAGCTTCAATCCCTTGAACTCCTGCCTTTCTAAACAATTGCAAACATACAGCCAAAAACTGGCAACAGTGAGCAAAGCAGCTGCGGCGCATTCCAAATATTGCTCTATTTAAAGCATCCCGGCGCTCACGGGAATAACTTCAGAAGCAAACCTTAAACCTTGTCAACAAAGCCAGCAGAGGGAGGAATGGCAGAGCCAGGTAAGGTGTGTGATTAGAAGTCAGCGTGGCCGCGTATTCTTAAAAGTCATAAACGTGAGCAGCATGAGGTGAGAATGCTCAGCTCTTCGTGTAGAACTAATTGTTGTTCAGTCACACTGTGCAAATTTCTCTAGTAAGAAAGCCCAAGATTTCTTACTTCTGTTAGCAGCGGTGAGTTTAAAGTAGCTCGAGTTCTTCCTGCCTCTGAAGAGTTTTATTTTCTTTTGTTTTTGCAGTTGTGATTTTAAGTTGATGAATGTAATTAAACTGAACCATGGAAATTGAGTTACGTTTGACACTAATTTAGATCTATTGCATAGCTGCAGTCTGAGCACAATGCTAGGTGAACACAAAGCAATTTAGATTTTAACTCTGCAAAGCCCAAAGGCAGAATAAAATGAGATTTTAATAACGCACTGTTTGCTGTGAGCACAATTCCACTGAAGATGAGAAAAGGCAGTTTATAAAAATGCATTTTGTATTCACTGTCACTCTCTGTTTGGCTCACCAAAGAAGTTTGCACGGTGACAGAGCTGTGTGCTTATGTACAGTGTCAGCCATGCACAGTTACTCAGCAATGCTTTTACTTGTAAGAGGAACTTATCCACCTTCCTAGGTATACCAGTAGCTCTTAAAGCCCTGTGCCTCCTGTCTATGGCACAGTTACCACTGGTATCTAAAAGGACAGTGAAATGCTGCTGAGCTTGGGTACAGCTGGGAACTAAATGCCATTTCTTAATCCTTCTTTTCTTTGATGTTCATGGAAATTACACTGATATTCCACTGTGAATGAGTACGGATGCATGTGTAGCACTGGTAGAATCTTTATGTCTGTGCTTAAGAAAAAAGTGATGCAGCCATAGGTGAGAGACAGAGCCAGGCTGGAGCCAACCAGAGCCTGGGGCAGCAATGGGAGCCTGGCACTGTGAGACTGGGCATCACTGGGGCATGGGTTGGCACAGCCAGGAGACCCAGACAGAAAGATTGGCTGCCAGGCTTGTGTGACTTTCAAGTCTGAAGCTGGCAAAAGCCATCAGCACAAAGCCTGTCTGTGTCCAATCTGCTTTAAACTGGGTTTTAGAGCACCACGCTCTATTGGTAGCATGCGTGGAATTCAGAAAAACTGGTTTGTTGGAGCTGGCAGCCAGGATGCGGGCAAGTGGCGTCGGATGTGGAGAGGTGGTGGGACACCTGTCTGCTCCACCTAACGCATGGTGCAACCCTGGGACAGCCCCAGCACCCTGTGCCACCAGGCACAGACCATGCTTCCTGTGTCCAGTGCCAGCAGAGTTGAAGGATGGTGCAGGAGATGTGTGTTCCTTCCTTCCCAGATTTCTGCTGCCCAGCTGTTGACATTGCTGTGGTACATCAGCATCCCATCATGCGCAATTCTGGGGCTCCTGATCTGTGAAGGCACAGCACTCTGTGCACTATTTGTTGCATGCAGAGAAGCTCTGCAGAAATACAGAAGTGCTGTGTTTGCCACTCTGACCTGCCCCTCTCTTATTTTGAGATAAATTCATGTCTGAAATAGAGAAAAATTACTGCAGTGGGGGAAAAAGAAAGTAATTCATACCTAGGATGCCAGCTTATGTACACGGGTCACAGTAAGATTCCTTTATTCTTGCTGCCACCCAGACTCGTCCTTTTGCTTTCAGTGGGCTCTAGCCCAGCAGCTGGGCTTGATTTCCTGTTTAGAAGCAATGCTCATGGTTGCTCTTCAACAGCCCACGTTTCCCTCAGGATCCTGCTCTCATTTGCATTCATTATAACAGCAATTATGATGTATCCTCACATTTTAGGATTGCAGCTGATTACCTGCAGGGGTCAGTAAAGATTTCTTTCCATTACCTAGGAGTGCTGCTCCCCTGCTGCTGTCCCACTGCCCCTCACCGGAGCTCAGCCTGAGCACTGAGCACTGGGCACTGGGCACTGGGCAGTGCAGATGCTGTCTTTGCAGCTGTTGGTGTGCCCAGCTCTGCTCCACGGGAAGAGTGATGCATGCTTGTCAGATTGAGGCTCAGGATATTTTCCCAAAGATTGGAACCCTGCAGTCTGTCACCTTCTTCTGTGGCCTTGCAAAAGGAGTTTGCCACCTTCTGAGTGATGCCTTGCAGACAGGTTACCCTGGATGTCTCATGCAGCCTAGCACCCAGCCTTGTGCACGAGCTGTGCTCGGTGCTTCAGCATCCCCTGCTCATGGCATAAAGTAGTCTTCACAAAGCTGCTTTACTCTCACTTGGAGTATCTGTCCCATGACATGCAGGGGATCAGAGCAGATGATCTCATAGTCATCTCTGCTATTAAGCAATGAAACACAAGTACTCTTAATGGCTCCTGTGAAACTCTATCGCTCAGAGCCAGCTGCTTGCTGCCCATGACAAATGGTGGCCCAGCATTCCTGCTGACCCGTCAGCGCTGGCTTGCTCCTCCTACCTTTCTGCATTTCAAGTGGATCTCACATAACAAAACACCATATCCAGCAGATATATTGGCAGCGGGCAGAGCTCTATCAAAATTCTTCCATGTGCCCCAGTAGGGTCCAGACCTTTATGTGTAACAGGATCTTTAGGAGAATGAAAGAGCAATGATTCCCAACAGAAGGACCTTTCTTACACAGAGTCAAACACTCTTCACAGGAAACAAGCAAGGATTCCCCTATGGCAAAGGACACTCTATTGCATAGCAAGTTTGTATCCTTGTGCTGCATGGTTGCTGTTTATATGTCCCATGTTTTAATGGCAGCACACGCAGATTTTCTACCTATGTGCTCTTTCCCATTTGGTAGATGTACCATGGAATACCATGGCTGTGTTGGTGGGGTTTTTTAAGAGCAATATGGAAAGCCTTAAATTATTCAGCATCCCTCCATAGTCTCTCTACTGGATGTCAAATGTGCAGGTGTTGTGGAGAGTTTTACATTATTTATTAATCCTTCAAAAACCCGGGAGTCTTTTAACTGCAGAATGTTGTACTTTTGCATTCTGCAATATGCTGGTAACTAATGCAGTTTCTGAGGTTGATGTGCTGCTTACTGGCAAGCTTCTGCTATTTGCTACAAACTGCGAGGAGGGTCTTTGAAACTCTGTTGCTGCCCAGGCTCACGTTTATAAGGGCTGTTCCTGCTTTCTGTGTGCTTCCCGGAGAACCACCACCTCAATTTGCCTCCAAGCTATTTATTAGCCTATTTTAGATCTTAGTGGATGGAACAGGCAAGACGTCAGATTTCCGTGGCCCAACTAAGGCAGATAGTTTATGTGTTATTTTCTTACTTTAAGCCAAGGGAAACCCTTGCAGTGAATACCCTGTCTCACTGCAGGACAGGAGAGAGAAGAGGGCAAAGCCAGCACTGCACACACAGTGCTGAGATGGGTGCCTGAGGCACAGCCCTGGGCAAACACCCCGCTCACTCAGCACCCCCTCACTGTGCCTCCAGGCACATTAATCTTAAATTAAACAGGTACAATATTATATATATATAATTGCAGTATTTTTGATTTGCTGTCGTCAAGCTCATGAGACTTCTGGAAGGTGCTGTACAGGTACGTTCAGGCTATCGAACCTGAGTCTGCTCTCCCTCCAGTCCAGATGTTCTCCTGATGACCTGTGGAGGCCAAGGACAGAACAGTGCTTCTGTCTCTGCTCTCTGCTTCTTTTGGAAGTGTTAAGCCTCGCACCTATCTGATTGCAGAGACCAGAGCGTGGAAATGGCTTTGGGTTTTGCTATGTATATGTACCTGCCAAGACATGGTGACTCCATGCCAAAAATAGCCATTGTAGATGTGGCCCAAACTCACGTATCTTTCTTGTTTTGAGATAACAACAGCTTTGTTGTGTTCAGGGCAGTGAGCTCACAGTCAATGTAACGTGTGCCCTCTCATTCCTCTTTCAGCCCAGCTCCCCCTTTCACGCCTTGTGGTACCCATCCTGCTCGCAGTTGGCTGGATAGTGGGCTGTGCACTGATGGTTTATATCGTCTTCTCCTGACAGAAGTAAGTGACTTGCACTGAACCAAATGCCATCCACGTGTTCTTTGGGGTGCATCAGTGCCTTTTTCAACATCATTTTCTTTATCTTACAGGACAGAAGAATTTACAGTGATGCTGATCGGAACAACCCAAAAGTTAAATTGGAATGTCTAACAACTAAAATATGTTTAATTATTTTTAATATCAACACTGTAGATATCATATACACTCTTTTTATCTACAAGCCTTGTGAGCTTATTCTTCCTTTCATGAGCTTTCATGAGATAAACAGCACATCTCTTCCCCTGAGCAGCCTGTTGTAGAGTTAGGGGTTGAAAGGACCCCTGGAGCTCCCCCCATCACGGAGTTTCCCTGCAGCAGGTTATGCAGGAAAGCCCCCAGGGGGATTCTGAATATCTCCAGAGGAGATTCCAGCACATATGAGCATCCTGTGCCAGCGTTCTGTAACCTTCACAGCAAAGAATCACACAAAATTACAGAATGGCCCGGGTTGGAAGGGACCTCAAAGATCATGAATCTCCACCTCCCCTCCCCCCACATGCAGGGCCACCAACCTCCACATTTCACAGCAGCCCAGGCTGCCCAGGGCCCAATCCAACTGGCCTTGAACAGCTGCAGGGACGGACGGGGCATCACAGCCTCTCTGGGCAGCTGTTCCAGCACCTCACCATTCTCTCTCTGAAGAACTTCCCCCTGACATCCAACCTCAATCTGCCCTTCCTCAGCTTCAAACCATTTCCCCTTGTCCTGCTGTTATCAATCCTTTCCAAGAGTTGATTTCCCTCCTGTTTGTAGGCTGCCTTTAGTGTGTGTACTGCAGGCTGCCATGAGGTCACCCCACAGCTTTCTTTTCTCCAGGCTGAATAAGCCCAGCTCCCTCAGCCTGTCTTCATAGTGCAGGTGCTGCAGCCCCCTGCTCATTTTGTGGCCCAAAAAGCCATTCCCCACCTGCAGCCAGTTTATTTAGCAGGCACTGCTGAGAACACAGTGCTGACACAGCCAGGTGCCCCTGGCAGCTTTTTGGGGTGCCTATCAACACTTGGCACCGAGCGCTTCAAATTGAAACGTACAGCGCTAAAGTATAAACAGTCTAATTCAGCTTCAGCTGATTTTTGAGAGCGGAAAGATCTGCCTTGGAAAGACACAACTACTCCCACACTCATCCCTGTGGATCCTTAGCTCGCTCCCAGCTTCTTTGCTGCATTTTTTCCTACAGATTAAACTATGAGATAATGAGCTGCAACCGCTGCTCTCAGCGATGGGGGAGCGAAACAGAACCGTGTTCCTGAGTTGGCCGCAGGAAGGGAAAGAAGCTCCTGCCAGGCTCGGAGGGTCATAAAAAGTGGGCGATTCCAGGGAAGCAATGCGTTCCACAGAGCGCTTGAAGCGCGCTGAGCGCAGAGCAGCCATCCCCAGGGCAGCAACTCCTCACCTCGCCGTGCAGCACAGCCTCTGCCGGGCAATGGTGGCGCCACCACGGGGAACCTTCTGGAAGGGGGCGGGGCCGGGAACCTTCTGGAAGGTGGCGGGGCCGTAGGCAGCGAAGTGCGGGCTGTGCCCAGGTGCGGGGATGGCGGTGGGCTGGGAGCCGCCTCTGGGATGGGGCTGAGCCCAGTACGGGTCAGTCGGGGCTTCGCTGGAGCTCAGCCTGCAGCGCGGACGCAGGTAGGAGCTGTGGGACGGAATGCTGGTTTTATGTCTGCTGAACGCGGCTGGCTGCCGCCTCGTGCTGTGCTTTACAGCTGTGGGTGTTTGGCTGCAAGTGGCTGTGCGTGTGTGGAAATGAGGCTGTGCTGCAGGTCCGGCCGCGTGTGCCTGGATCCCTCACCACGGCCAGAAGCGCGTGGGGTAATGATGTCTGTGTGTTAAAACCTTGATTTGACACGGAGCTGCAGAGAAGGTTGGCTGCTGTGTGAAAACACCTGAGTTTCTTTTTGTGCAAACCGGGTTTGTGCTGAGAGCAGCTGCTCTGTGCGAGGCCGTGCTTCGCTGCTGGGTGGCGTCAGTGCTGGCTGTGCCCCAGGGCAATGCAGGTCGGCTCTGAGGGACAAACGGTAGGGTATGTTTATGCTTCGAGCTTATTGATTTAATGATCAAACGGCAGCTCCCAGGCTCCCTACCTTCCTGTGGTCGGGAGCAGCAGGAGGAGGTGATGTTGGGATGAGGTCACCTACTGGAAAGCAGCTGGGGGGGAGCGCTGGGCAGCCAGAAGCAGGCTGGTTCACTGAGCCTGGCCCCAAAAGTTGTCCTCGATGGAGTAGGAAGTGTTGTAACGGTGGAGTCATCGTGGTGGGCCTGCAGCGTTCTGTGGCTGCGTCTGGTTGAGGATGCATTGCAGGATTGTTCACTCAGAGGAGCTGCAGCTGGAATCCTCCCTGTCACAGCTCTTCCCCAGCAGTCGTGCTCTATGCCATCAGTTTTCTCTGGGTTACTATGGCTCGTCATGCTGATTAATGACTTTGCTGCACTTCATCACCTCCTAGCTGGGCTGCAGGCACGCAGCACACGTGGGCAGGCGGCCCAGTCCTTCAGAAACTGCAGCTAGCATGGGATGTCTCAATACCAGCAGGGCATCTGTCTTCTGGTCCTGCACTGGTTTCTCTTAAAATACAAACTCATGTTGCCTGTGTCAGTTCTGATGTTCAGCTGATCTGATGTTCTAATGCTCTAACTACAGCAGTGTCAGGATATCTAAAATATGCTGATTGCAGAGTGTAACTGGCAAGCTGGGTTGTGAAGTGCTGTGCAGCTACCCCAAAGGTACCCTGTTGTGCAGGATGGCCTTTCCCGTGGCCTGCCTCTACTCTGGGCTGCATTCCGACTTCTGAGATCCTACAGAAGCCAAATTGTACAGGTTTTTTTGCGTATGCTATACTTATTTCTTTGGTCTTGTCTTCTGTATCCAACATGAATATATAGCAATGCTTGTATGTAATAAAACAAAGTGGGTGCTGTATTGTGTGTCTGCTGTGGTAGTGACAAGAACAAATACTGAGTTGGCTCTCATTCAGTACTGTACTGGTGTATCATCATTGAGACACAAGACCTGGAGTAGATGTGGGGAATTCGGGAGGAAATGGATCCGAATCTTTTTGATAGTCTTAAAACTTGATCAGTAAATCCCTGCATAAGGAAGGAAGGCTTAAAGAAGAGAAATGGTTTACGTAATGTGCATCCTCACAAAGTGCTCTTTGTGTTTTCTGTTGTGCCATCAGTTCAGTGTGTGATGCTACGTGAGTGTCTGCGTGGTTGGTGCAGGACGCCCTGAATGGTGGTGTTGTCACCAGGTCAGTGCGAAGCAGCAGCTGGGAGTGAAAATTCGCAGCTGTGAAAATTGTCATGAGAAGTTTTGTCCCAGATGTCTGCTTGATGGATTCTGCTATGTTCGTCTGCCTTTGCATGGTACCTGTGAAGGCTGTAAGGGGTCTGCAGAGTGGGGAGGGCAGTGCAATTGTTCCATTGCTGAATATAGGAAACATTTCCCTTTTCTGAGGTAATGATGTCTGGTGTGGAGCACAGTAAGCATTTCTCATCACACAGCTGAGTGCCAGAGACAGTGGGCAATACAACGCCCAGCTGAATGTACGTGAGGGAGGGAACAGATTCCTGCCAGGGCACAAATCCAGCTTTCAAACCGTTACTGAGCCCCAGAGTTTGGGCTGAGCTCATCAGGACTTGTTTCTATTAAAGGATGGTTTTACAGATCTTTCTTCTGTGTTGAGTCACTGCTGTAGCTTCTCCCCATGGTGGGTTGTGGTGTCCTGGTGTGTGATGAGAGAGGAGCAGCCCGAGGTAACGCAGGCTAAGAAGGACAGAGAGGCACGTGGGATCTGAATAATTTCGGGGAAAATCTGCTTGGTATCAGAACTCAGGATATATATTTTTATTATTATAATTGCCACCTTGTTTTCTGTACTAAATGCTTTCTGTTCTATGAAACACAGCTTCAGCTGTGGGAAGTTGTTATATTTCATGGAGTAACTTCAAATTCTGCCGTGCTCACACTGCGACTGACAAAATGTGCACGGCTGTGGTTCTTCTGGAGGAGAATTTACTCCAATATCTACTGACAAAACAGTATTTTTAAAAACTTGCTTGAGGTTAGCGGGATGATTTGAACCTCAGCAGATGACTTTTGAGGTGCTTGGTTTTAATCTCCTTCCATGGATATGACCACTGCAGATTTCCATTTAGCTGGAATCTTAAATTTTCATAGAGCTCAATTTTGTCTTTTTGGAAGACACTTGGTTTGGTTTTAAGTAAGTGACCACACTTCACGTCTCTAGGTGAGCTTAAGGTAACTTGCTCTTTGCCAACCACGCTATGAGTGCCTCTTCGCCTTTCCTTTAAAGTAAATAGCTTGCATCTAAATTTGTTCATTGTAAAGTCACTGTCAGCTCAGGAGTGTTGGTGTTGGTGAGGCCAGGAGCTGCCCAGGCAGCTTTCTTAGGCGGCGCAGCCAAAGCAGTGAGCGTTACAGAGAGGGGAGGACTTCAGCAGCACGGTGCTTCCATCAGTGGTGCCACATTGATTGCTTCTCTGTCTTTCCGCACAAAATGTGGTGGTTTCCTGAACAAGGAAATCTGAGAAAGAAGCAGTGCAGTTGCCTACAACTTCTGCTCCTGATGTGAAATCTGTTAGGGTGCTTACGCAGACCTGGAGAAGCAGCAAAATAGGAATGCCACATGGAGTGGCATGTTTTTCGGGCTTTGTTGTTCTCGAGGCCTTTGGTGGATGCTTCCTGTGGCATACCTATAAATATTTCCCTGACATTAATGCTATGAAAAGGAAAAGCCTCACTGGTGCTAATTAGTTTGCAAGCTGTGATAAAAGGTGTGTTGTGACTTTTCACTGTTTGCTTAATGTCAGATATGGTGCATCTCAATTACTAGTTTCTCTTATGGAATACCCGATTTTCACTTCTGCATGAGTGTGAAAATCCTAAGTGTTACAGGTTAAAGTTTGGTTTTTAAAATACGTCCTGTGCATGATGTTTCTCTGTTGGATGCTACACGTGGCCTTGCTTCTCTCAGCAAGTGTGCCCAGTGGCTTTTGGTGAGTGCTGTGGAAGACAAGGCTGCTGCGAGCACAGGACAGGCCTAGCGCCAGCAGCGATGGGGTG